GAAATATTTCAGTTGGTGTGCAATGAATCTGAAATATATGAAAGTTTAATTTTTATCATTACATTATGGAAAATAATGACCTTTATCACAATATGCTAATTTTTTGAGAAGGACCTGTATATAGCAAGGCTAATGCTTTATTCTGCTTTCCCTGCCTCCTTTTTCAAACATCAGGATCTGACCCAGCATGGATTAAGGCAGGTATGACTGATTTAAAGAATTTTTCAGAAAAGGCAAAGATGCATGAACAATCTGGGATCCACAGGGAAAATGTACTGCGACTAGCCATGTTTGTGAAAATAAACATTTCATCTCAGCTGGCTGAAGGCTACAGGGTAGGGATCCATAAGCACAATGAGGAGTTTGACAAAAACAGGCACATTATATCAAAAATAATGTAGTGTCAAGTTCTATGGTGCATTTGAACTTGCCCTGCGTGGCCATGATGAAAGTGAAAGCTCAGAAAATCTGTGTATTTTTAGAAGACTGGTGGATTTTGAAGCATCACTGGATGCAGTTCTACGTGAGCACCTACATCCATCCAGGCTCATGAAACAATGGACATTTTTACGCCACACACTTATAACCCCAACTGAAGAAAACTCCACCAGCCGTCACTGCTTTAAAGGAAGTTGTTGACCTTTCTTAAACACTTATGTGTTACTGCACTTCCAGTAAGCATGAACCCAGTTTTTGACTCGGCAGACTGAAACTGTCACCCAAATCTGTTTATGAAAACTGAAACATCTTTGAAACCTCTTGCTCCACAGTTCAGAATATGAAGTCATCTGGCTGTGTCTGAGCATTTCTGCAACTTCTGTAACTGAATCTAACTTCATGCTCATTTCCCTGCAGCTGGGTGACTGTAAAACAGACGATAATGTATAAACTTCTCTTACTGCTCCTCTTATTTCATTTGTTACATAAACACTGTTCATGAGAACAAAAAAGTGCAACAAAACATAATATCCTATTGGCTTCTGTTTGCCATGTCCGTTAGCGTTTCACCCACTTTTTCCATTTATTTTTAGGTGTTTTTTTACATGTATGAATTTAGACACCAACAGTTTAACTAAACCTCTTACTAAGGAAAACTAATTTAACACAAGGTGTTTAAAAACAAAGAAAGGACTCCGAGGCTTAATATATTGAGCAGGTCAGCACAGTAATGCTGCTTTGATTTAACGCTTCCAGCAGAGGTCAATGTTGCACCAGTATTTGTTTGTCCAAAAAAAACGAACGTTTATTCTAAAGGTCTGTCAGGGAAGTTGATTTAACCTTAACATGAATGTTTTATCATTTAGTCTCCATGAAAAATAAATGTGCAAATAGTTTATATGTCTTTGTAAATCTTTCTGCTTGAGAGCTCAACTTTTTTATGAAAAATGGAAAAAAGAACTACAAATGTTAGCTTTAAGTCATAAACAAAGTAAAAAAAAAAACATGTTTGTTTGATAGAATTATTTTCTTTCTTATGGATGCTTGAGTGCAGGAGGTGTTCAGTATTTATTTGCATCTTGTGCCGATCTGTAAAAAAAGTCTTCAGACATTTCTTTAGATTTTATTTCCAATGTGCCAGATTTTCTTGTAATAGTTCTTCTGGTTTAATGAAGCTCTTCAAAATATTTAAATATTTGCTGCTTTTTAAACCAGTTGTTTCACAGCCCAATTCTTGTATTGATCTTTTGAGTGTAAAAAAACAAGTAACTTAGTAAAAAAAAAAAAAACTTGTTTTGTACCTTCGCACATCACTGCTGTGGATTAAAGGTAAAATAGTTGTGATGATTTGTTAATTATAAAGACAATGTTTTGATTGGCGCACAGTCATTTCAGTTTTTGTGTGTCTTATGTCATTTTCATTGTTTCCCACGCTCTTCAGCCTAGTATTGGGGTAACAGGAACACAGGAAAGCCCGTTTATTGAACTTGCCTGTGTGATTACATGCACATTTAACACACACACACACACATACGACGAACACGCCCTCGCTGAAACAAACACAATCCCCCGGCGCCTCCTTCCTGAGTGACGTTGCCAAAGTGAAATAACAATGACAAGCAGCAGGGTGGAGGTGAGTATCTGTGTCTGTGTGAGGGTCCTCTCATGAAACACGCACACAAGCCCTTCTGAGTCCTCCACCCTGCTGGTAATGATTGATAGGGTGCAGGACGGGGGGTCACAAGTGACCCAGAGGAGATCAGTGACGTCTAAAGAACAAAAACGCTCATCTGGGTGTCATATTCTGAACACAGAAATACTCCAACAACACTGACTGCACACCTGATGTCATTTTTTTTCTCACTATGGCACCTTTAGCTGCAGACTAAATGTGTTTTAATAACCCTATTCAGTATTTTACATTTCTGTTAACCCCTAAGAAAGACACTCAACAGGTAACTTTTCACAGCATATTCAGGACAAAGGAATCCTAGCGTTTTAACGTCCTTGTAAACTTGATCAAATTGATGTTTTTATGATGATTCCCAATTGGCTGTGGCAAAAAATAATGCGTCAACCACATAAAAACGAAGTCAAACAGCAAATAATAAATGCAGGTTTATCTGTAATTCTTCTCTTTTTCTGCATTTGTCTGCTACAGTAGTCAAGTTTCAGTACCGTAATTTCCGCCCTATAAGTGGCATCAGTCCAAATATGTCTAATAAAGTGGAAAAATCCATAAATATGTCACTTCGCCATATAAGTCGCATCTATCATGCGTCACCGCTGATAACCTAGAAATGTGGGCCGGTGTTGTGCCAAAAATCAATTGGCTGCTAAATGGCAGCCGTGGGAGTGTGCGCGGGAGAACCAACAACAATTTAATAAGATTAACACTTAAAAACAATTATCTGTTTGCTCTAAATTATAGTGAAGGTGTGTCTCAGCCTAACTTTTGCTTAATACATGCACTTTGATGGTCAAGTCAGCTGCATTTCAAAACCTGATTCACATAAATGGCACACACGGAGGGAGGGTTTGCTGTGCATTTCTTTGAAATTTAACAAGATAACCCATTAAAAACAATTATTTGTTAGTTCAACGTTATAGTAAAGGTGTGTCTCAGTTGAACTTTTACCTAATAAAAGGACTTTAATGGTCAAATCAGCTGTATTTCAAAAGTATTTGCTGCCTCTGTGCTCTGGGAGCGCACAGACAGGGAGGAAATCAGGAGGAATTATGTGCATTTCATTGAAATTTAACATGATAAGCACCTAAAACAATTATTTGTTTGCTCAACATTATAGCAAAGGTGTGTCTCAGTTGCACGTTTACTTAATAAATGCACTTTAATGATCAAATTAACTGCATTTCGCCGGGGCGGTGCAGCAAAATGAAGCTGGTTTGACGGTTGCTCCAAGCAGCGAGCAGAATGAAGGTGGCAGACTATGGCAAGCCGATTGTATTATTAATAGCCACTTTTCCCTTTTACATAATACAATGGCATGCCATACACCTCAAGTGCCTGGCTGAAAATTGTAGTGTTCAATATTTTCAGTCAGAATGAATGAAAATGGTCACATCTCAGCCATATTGGTTTATAAGTTTGTCGCTTTGGCATATAAGTCACAGGGCGTGCAAATTATGCAAAAAAAAAACACAACTTATAGGGCGAAAAATATGGTACATGTATCTCAGGAGTCTAAATAACAAGTAAATAATGTGCATAAAAGCACAAAAACCAGGATTCTAATGTTATAGATAAAACAACTAATCTTCTAAATAAACTTACTGACAATGCCTTTTGGGGTTTATTAGCTTATTGTTCATATACTTAAAGGCGGTGAATGGATCTAACGTGCACACCACTGCATTTCAAAGGATTTAGACATTTGGAGCTTTTTCCTGAGAACTTTGAGCTCAGGTGACAGCTTAATTCAAATCACTTTGTCACATCAGACAAAGATTTATTCAAACTTCTTTTCCCCACAACATCAAAAGCATCAGAGCAGACACCAGTCTGTTCCAAACATCGCCCACCCCCACATCTGCTGACCCCACAGTCGCCTTTAACCCTCTCTGCTGCCACACTCCTACATCACTCAGTTCAGACAAAACAAAACTCTCTTCGTATCTTTGTTCAGATCCTGCTCAGCAAACTTATCAACCAATGAGTTGCAGTCAGAACCAACAGCTTCTGCATTCATCAGCTTTTGGATTTCAGGGTCCAAGTGAACTCATTGTGTCCTGGCCTTGTGCCTCTGCTCTCCAACTACTCACAGATGTTTACAGCTAGTTTTATTTATTTGATTTGCCTGGGCACTGTGTGGCCCTGATGGCCGAGTTTTTCTCTCCATACTGCCTGGAGGAGACAATCGTTTACACTGGGATGAAATTAGAAGACAAAGTGGCAGGAAATGGGCACTTATTTCATAAATATCCTTCGGCTACACACAACTGAAAATATCTCTAGGCCCATAGTACTGTATGTTTATTTCTGCTTGAGACGTTTGCATTTTATTTTCTAATCTGGAGCTGAAATGCAGAAGCCCAAACACAGTTCCACCTGCAAATGTGATTGGAGAAGTGCAGCACGACTTATTTTAACTTGCTATACATTTTAAGCTTTGAGTTGCACTTCATGACAAACATGTCACACCCACAGATTATTTGACGAGACAGTGCTAACGTTACAGAGTCTCAGCTGAGTCTTGTAGGCGTGCTAAAGCTTCCATACCATCCTGGAGCCGCAGGTGTCGGAGATACAGCGGACTCTGGAGGACGTTACACCTGCCTGGCTCGTTTTCTCTCGTCATGAGCATCAAGTCGCTGTAGATGAACACTGTAACCTGAAAAAAAGAGGGGAGATGAAGATTATAAAGTGAGAAACAGGAAGTTTAAAAAAATATAAGAAGTGAATGGCAGGACGTTGGCGATGATGATGGTGTCGCAAGCAATTATTGTGGCTTACACCTTTCAAACATGTGCAGTCCAAAGAGTTTCACACACATTATCTGAAACTGGCTTTGTTTCCAGAAGGTTAATTTATTTAATTTTTTTAAGATCTGTTTAAGGTGAAAACTACATTCCAAAACACATAAATTATTTTTGCCTTTGTAGACTCATTCTGCTGTCGTCCGCACGTTTCATTTTAACTGTGACTTTGACTGTTTTTGCTCTCAGAGTAAACCCTGTGGTTTGTTAGAAAGATATGATTTAAAATAACAATAATAGAAAATGAACAAGCACACAGAAAATATTTTAAGTAATAATGCCAAAACAATAACACTGCAAAAAAAAAGATTTTTGTAAGTCAGTTCCTTCATGCAGAGCGAAGTACACCCATCACAGACAGAACATAATCACTCTGATTATCAGAGTTCATCTCTCGAGACAATGTTTTTTTTTTTTTTTTGTGGCTTCCTTTGAAGGGGGGGGGGGCAGAATGGAGGGGAGCTGAGGGTAGGGGGTTGTTAACATGCATGTGCATAGGTTGGAGTTGGTGGACAAACATGCAAAATGGGCAATTATTACATAGAACAATGTGTACAATTAAAATATATATGTTAAAAGTACATTACAATAAAAAACATAACATTTTTTACAAAAAAATATATTATTTCAGCTGCTCTCTTCTTCTGGGGTCACCACAGCGAACTAACTCGCACGAAGGCTTGGCAATTGTTTTTACACCAGATGTTCTTTGTGACTCAACCGCAGACCACCGAGCTACCACAGCCCTCTGTGTGGAGTAGAGAGCTGCTATCTAGGGCACCCGGGTGAGCCTTGCTCAAGGGCACAGCATGGAGCAAATGAGGGTGGAGGCAGGCATGGGTGTTTCAACTACAGTACATTTTGATGTTGTTGGTCTGGGGAGTCGAACTGACGACCTTCCGATCACATAGTCGCCTTCTCTAACCTCTGCACCACCACTTCCCCTCGATTTTGTTGTTATATATGTATATATATATATATATATATATATATATATATATATATATATATATTTATTTATTTATTTATTTATTTATTATTTTTTTTTATTTATTTATTTATTTATTTATTTATTTTTTTAATTTACAGAAAGTCCCAAATACACTTTCATTTTACCAGCGTTATCTCTGATTGTGGTTCTCGCTGAACTTTTATTTTGTGTTTCAGTATCCATTGTAACAATTACACCAAATTATTCTACACTGTGTCTGTTACTTTCTTGTTTCGTAAATGAATATTTCTTGTCAATACTTTTTTGTTTTAAAAGATAACAAAAACATAAAATAATAAACTTGTTAGCCTAACAGTTTGTGTGCACCACACACACAAAAAAAATATATAAATAAACACTCTCAACTGGAACAACACAGAGAAATCACAAAAACAGCCAGCTGAAAGCAGCACCGGGGAGAGAAACTCCCTCATGACAAACACTGGCAGAAAAATATTTGTTTTACAACTCCAGAGGGACTCCATGAACACAGCACCGTACTCTGCCGCATACCAGAAATTACCTTACAATGCATTTCTAAAAACAAATATGAAAAATGACACTTTCCAAACAAAAACAATCTTATTTTCTAGCAAAGATCTTATATTTTAGACACACAAGAGGATTTAAATTTGTTGCACATCCAGGTTAATTTGCTGGTTGTTATTTGTTGTGATGGACATAATATGATGAGTTGTTTTTTCTTTGTTTTTTTTTCTCTCTATGCTCCGGTGAAGTCACACGTGTCTCCCAGTTTAGAAAGTGTACACATTTTTCTCAACTGTTCAAGTTCCATAAACCAGGCGGGGTCTACTAGCAAACAATAATCCTAAATCACGGATTGTTGTTTGAAGTGTACAGATGACTATGTTTCCCACAGCATGATGCTACCGCGGCCATGCTTTACGGTGGAGGTGGTGTACTAAGGATAACAAGAAACACTGAGTTTTATACGACACACAGTATTTTTTTAACATATGCATTAAAGTCCCAATATAATTTTGTCAAAAGGTAAAAGTACTTTTTTAAACAATGATTTCTGACCCTTCTTTTTTTATTCCCACTTCATTAGACTTTAAAATCTGTTGAGGTTTACAGTTTATTCAGGGTTTCACTTTCATTCATGTTGAGAACACGAGTTGTGGTAGTTTGTCCTTTCCTAGTAATTTTATTGTTGTGCCAATTTTTATTTTTCATTAATAAATGTTATTGTTTTATCCAGAGTATATAAACAAATCTGACCAAATTCGACCTGTTTTTACTGTTGAACTTTATCCTTAATCTCTGTGGAGTTTCATTATCTACACTGCTGCTTGATTTGTGCTGTTCCAGACAAGGAAGCCTTTCAAAAGGTGTAGAAATATTTAAAAAATATATGTGACATAACCACAATCGTGTTAATTCGATGAAAATAACTATGATTTTTGGTGGTAATTACCAACACTTTGTTTTATAGCTTCAAAGTAAAAGTCCTGAATATCTATGCACACTTTTGTTAGTTTTCATTTTGTATTATTTTTGCAGCACAAAAATTTCTTTATTGCTGCTTCACAAATTTTGGATTACATAAGTACATAAAATAAAATAAAAATGAAAATCAGTCTAATTTCTGAATTAGCTTTAGATAACATTCATCACAAAAATAATTTTCAGATCCGTGAATTGAAGCGACTCTTCTCTATTTGCATCAAGCAGAAGCTGAGCCTTCATTCAGCTTCACTGGAATTGTTGCAACATTAAAAAAACTAAGCTTACAGATGTTTATCACACATAAACAAACACATGCACTGACATTAAAAAAACAGTGTTTATTGCACTGATGTCACGCACCTTTTGAGAGTGGTGCTGGCTCTCGTGGAGTATCATCTCCTCAGATATGATGAGTGTTCGGCTGCAAAGGTCAAGAGGCTAAAAATAAAAGAATGATATAAATAGGTTGGTTAGAAGCAAAGACGAAGTTTTAAAGTAACTTTGATTCTCTTCCAGTCACGTTTCAGGTATTTAACAAATCTTACATGGCCATATTGCTGATATTACAGTACTGATACTCTCTTAATGAGCATGCGTTAAGCTTAAAAATACGTAGTTAAGTTTAGTAGCTTGAAGATTTAGTCAAATGTTTACAATACCAAATCCATTTTGAATCCTCAATCCAAATGAACAGCTAAACAACAGAAATGTCTTTTTACTGATGCCGGCGCAACTGGAAGTAACTAAGTGAGTTGCAACCCGAGATAAAAAAAAAAAAAAAGTGTGGTTGAGAATTACAAGTCTGACAAATAAAATGAAGCAATGCCACAGCGTGGGAGGAGGGGACTTCCTGTGAAGTCCAAACTGTGACAGAGTTGATTCAAGATGTGTGTAACTTGAATACAAAAACTGGGGTCGGTGTTGTGTTTGGAAACAATTCAACAGGATTTATTAAGATGTTGTATCACAAGCTTTCCATTTTCAAGTTAGAAAGTTTGAAGGAGGTAAACTTAGATACATCTAAATCTTTTTTTTTTTTTTTTTTATTTACCCTTTATTTATCCAGGTAGTCTCATTGAGTCACGAGAACTCATTTTCAAGAGAGACCTGTTTGAGAGCAGATGGTGGGGTTTAAGGGCCTTGCTCAAGGGCCCAGGGCGGGGCAAATGAGGGTGGAGGCAGGTGATGTTGTCAGTCCGGGGAGTTGAACCTGCAACTTTCCAATCACAGGCCCATCTTCTCTAACCTCTGTGCCACCACTCCCCTAGTAGGAGTAATAAAAAGTAGTAGTAGTAGTAAAAAACAAAAAAAGTAGGAGCATTAAGGTTATTGTTGTTTTTAAGCACATTTTTCTGGTATGTTGCCTAGCAGAACTGACCATTTAGCAATAAATTATTTTAAAGTATTTGCATTTAGCAATAAATGATTTTAAAGTATTTGGTTCTGTTTGTTAATATTGTATTTGAGTGTTTTTAGTTTGACCGTAAAGAGCAAGTATCGGCAATTATTTTGTGTTTACTGTTACTTATAAAAATACAAGTATTGGGATAAAAAGCACATGCAACCATAATATATGACTTTTAAACAAAGGAAAGCCAAATGATAAATAGCATAATCATAAATATTGGCAAACTCAAACCACAAATGTGTATTTCCTTTAAAACCAAATGTGAAACAAGAAAAGTCCTTGAGCTGTATGATGCTACAGTTTCTGTTTACACAAAGCAGAAAGTTTCAACAACTTTAAAAGTTTGTTCTTGTTTTGTTTTTTCCATTGGAGCTTCACATTAAAATTCCACAGCATGTTATAATGAAAAAAGCTTTGCTATAGCAATAAATGTCATTATAAACACAGGCTCCAGTCAAGTTGTACGTTCATCTCAAGCAAAAATACACAAGCAGAATACAAAACAAGCTCATGCAGTCACACCATACCAAAGTCTGAGTATGTATGCAAATTTGAACATTCTAGTATTTTATTTATAATTATTATTGTGTCAAATTCAATCCTGTGATGGACACCTGTCCAGGATGTACCCCACCACTCGCACGGTGATAGCTGGACATGGGTACCTGTGACCTCCATGACCCAAAAAGGAAGAAGCGGGTAAAAGATAATGGATGAATGAATCAAATTCAAACAACATTTTAAGACTACCGTATTTTTCGGACTATAAGGCGCACTGGATTATAAAGCTCACTCTTGATTTTTGAGAAAATTAAAGGATTTTAAGTGTGCCTTATACTTTGTAGTCCGAAAAATATGGTAGTTTTTAAAACAATCATAGTGTAAACTACTCACTAAACATTATTTAGAGGAATATGTCTATCAGAACTGTGAAACCTACACAAACTGGCTCACCTGAACAAATATGGGGAAGATGAGGATTTTCGGTGCAACTTTGACATATCCATAATTGGCGTGTGGAGCGTGTGACCGGACGATCGTGCAGTTCTGATAGTTGGCAAAATTAGCGTTCTGCTGCGGGTAGTTGGGTGCACCAACACTGGTGGAGGTGGATGATCCTTTTGATATCTTGGAGTTGTTAGATCGACGAAGGAAGCCAGTTCGGCTGGAGAGGCCGCCACTGCTACCTCCCCCACCACCGACACCCCCAGAAGAAGCACCACCACCACCACCACTCTGAGGCTGCGGACCAGAAGTCTGTCGAGTCGGGTATAACCTGCTGTAACCTGCAGCTGCAAAACAAACGGAAGAATCGTTGCTACTGGAGAGAGATTTATAAATATTAACATCCAGTCATTATACTTTAATATTCAAATATGTTTGAGAATTCAAACATATCTCATCTATCTGTTAGGATAGGTAAGTCAAAGTTGTTTTATATTTTAGGGATTTTCAGTAAAAAAAACAATAACCTGAAATGAGAAATCAAAATGCAATTTAAAAAAATTGGGTTCACAGCAAAGTAATGAAGATGGAAACCTAACACTAAATTATAAAAATAAACATTAAGCAATGTGTGTCTTACCTAATGTACCCTGGTTGTCCTGATAAACAGGCCTCAGGATCTGAAAGCAGAGTAGTTTGAATTGGCATTAAGGCCGTTTAAAGAAGTAAAACTACAGCTGTAACACAGTAAAAGTATAAAACGTAAAATTATGTGAGCCAAGTATAATTTCTTGTTTAGGATGATGTTTTATGATGTAAAGAGAAAACTAACTGGACACTGATTGGCTGTATTAAGCTGTAACGTTTAAGATGTTTGTGCTGATATTTCACCCAGTTAACACCTTTTGTTGTAGCTCGCGCTGAGTCTCACACTCAGCAAGACATGGTTTGCTTGTCACGACATAAATAATCTGCTGAAGGAGTAAGAATAAAAACTGCCAACACATTATGTGCTGATCAGATTAATGAGGGGGTTGGAGCAATATTTAGAAAACACCAAATAATGGCAAATACATAAATGCATTTTCAAAAATAATGATGTTTTAAAGTTTTTAGTGTGGAGTTTAATATTTTGACGTAGTAAGATGGTGCAAGCGTGACCCATTTCCAAAGGGCTTTCCTTATTGTTAGTCTGGTCATCAAATCTCTGCCTCTCTTATTTGAAACTGAAACTGGAGATTTCAACAGGAAGGTTTGTCCTCTGTTCCAGTATGTAGCTCTTATGCCCGAGGCTAAACATATTCTTTCTTTAAATAAACATTCTGTCATCTCTCTGACTCTTCCTCTGCTTTCCCTCCTAACTTCAAACTGATCTTACGAGCCAGACTGCTCACATCTTTTTTGCGTCCCTTTCCTGAACTAGAAGAAGAAAATCATGAAAATGAGAACACTGAACGAAGAATGTGCAACACACAAACACACACCGCAGAAACATTTACAATCAAAAACACACATAAAAAGATGAGTTAGTTAATTTAATGCAGGTTTAAACTTTGTATAAGTGATTCAGTTTGATTGGGTTAGTATTGCGTTATTAAAGGGGTGTTAGCTGAGTAATTCAGATCAGTCTTTTGGATTTAATCAGTTTTCTTTATTGCGCTTTTATAATTACGACTTTTACTTCAAATACAGAGCAAAAATAAGTAAGTGTTGTATAAAATATACAAAAAAGGAAAATAATGCAGTGGATCTTTCTTGGAATATGTGGTTTCATTAACTATAATTTAAAGTTTTTGATTGTTTTTTTTAATAAATAACAATACTGTTTGTTAAGCATGGCTATAGAAACTGACAGTTAATGCATCTATAGGACATGTATCAAATAAATGATTTTTATAAGTATTGTTTTTCAATAATAAATTACTCCTGGTTGGTAGGATGTAATCAAACAAATATCAGCAATGTAATTTTATATGTACATTTATTTTCAGTCTGTTCCTCCATGTCTACATGAACCTGAACGATACGTGCAGTATGTGTATATGTATGTGAGGAAAACACTCAAAAATCAATAAAACAACATTAATCTGAAGGACACAGACAGACACATTCATCTATCTGTCAGCACTAGGGATGTAAGGTAAAGAAACATATCTAGGTTGAGACACCAAATGACCATAGTGAGGATGAGGAGGACGGAGAAGATGATGAAGATGCAGCCCTCCACCAGTCTGTGGTACCTGGCTTCCGGGGTTTATGGGTGCCAGGATGATGTAATTGTCCCCATTGGATGCCTTCACCCTGGTTCCTTTCAGTGTGGCGGTTGGAGGATGGTGCAGCAGACGCGGTTTCCCATCCAGCTCCTCAGTTGACCCTACATGGCCCCCCCACGCGAGGGTCCCTCTGCTTATGCCAACATTGTTTCCAGCTTCTGAGCCGTTCACCAGCAGCCTGCGGGACGCAGCGGCGCGGTGGTGAGCTGGGAGAGGCGGCACAGTTGGGGGGGATTTACTTGTGCCAGCATCTGGTGCACGCCTGCGGGTGGGGGGTGAGGGGGCATCATAGTTTGAGGTAGGGGATTTGTATGAGGGCCGGTGGATCAGGCCTTCAAAACTAGGTTTGACAGAGGGACCGGTGCGCCACACTACGACTGTGATCTCACTGGCACTGTTTCTAAAGACAGAAAAAAAATAGAGTTTATTAATCATTTTTAATACTTTGTGGTACTTAAATAAATCTACAGAATACAAAATACACATTTTTAGCATTTACATCAAAACTTAGAATTACTTAAACAGCACTAAAGTTCTGTTTGGTGCCATAAATCTAATGCAATGATGAAACATCTTCAGTCTTGAAACTAACATTAATAAAGTATTTGTGCAGTTTTGTGCTCTGGTGTGTTGGAAATGTTACCGTATAGCATGAGCCAGGTCCACACATTTCCACTGCTCCACTGGCTGACCATTTAACTGCAGGAGCGTGTCCAGCTGCTGCAGACCAGCCTGATCTGCTGGACCCCCTGCGGGAGAGAAAAGACGGTTCAAATACAGTATTTACACATTTTATAGCAAACATCATGCTGCTCAAACCTGCAGAGGTTTTTTGCAACAAGCAAATTAATTTTACCATTAATGTGCAGAATTGATTATTACTGTAGGAGCAAAACATTAAAAAACAGTAAAAATATAATCAAGTGTGGAATGCTGAATTATTTTGTGATTTCCAGTGGCCATGAATTGTTCTAAAGACATGTTTCCTGGTAACTGCAAAACGCTGCTTGCTGATCCATCTTTACTTGGCAAAAATAAACTACAAGCTTGTCAAACTTTAATTAAACGGAATATTTATCAGGTAGTCCCTGTGATGGACTTGCGACCCGTCCAGGGTGTCCCCCGCCCCTCGCACAGTGATTGCTGGACATGGGCACCAGCGACCCCCGTGACCCAAAATGGAATAAACGGGTAAAGAAAATGGATGGATGGATTTATCAGGTAACAAAATCAGGTGTGACACAACATGGTCCCAGTTGGTCATAGCTTTTTTCATGTGTTTATTCTCAACGTCATCTCAAAAAGAAAAAGAAAGAGCTAAATAGCTTGTGTAATTAATATGAAACAAAAGTATCAATAATCAGAAAATTTATCATAAATTTAATGTCATGTGTTGTCAAAATGAGAAACTAGTTGTTTTTGATAAAACATGCAAAAAAAATCATTAAAATACAACTAAATTTTATATTTATGTCAAAATGTATTTAATCTGTTTTGATTAAAAAAAATACTTTTATTCAGGATTTCTTTCTAATGAGAACACTGTTGCAAAAAATACGATGTACTGATATGTCTTCTGAGATGTCATCATTAAGAAGTGACGCAATTGTCATGTTCAGCACATATTTGTTCATATTTTGGTGTTAGGTCGTGCTGCCCTCTAAGTGATACAGCCTTCCACTTATGTCCAAAAACTTATTTAAAAGGTCTTCAGCTGATCCAAAATGCTGCTGCCTGAGTTTTAATGGGAGTTGATAGGAGAGATCATCTCTCTCCAGTTTTAGCTTCTCTCCATTGGCTCCCTGTCAAATTCAGAATTGAATTTGAATTCCTACTTCTAACCTACAAAGCTCTCAACAACCTAGCTCCATCTTATCTTATATTGCAGATCTTATTGTTCCATATTTTCCTAATAGAGCACTTTGCTCTCAGACTGCAGGTTTACTTGTGGTTACTAGAGTTTCCAAAAGCAGAATGGGAGGAAGATCTTTCAGTTATCAGGCTCCTCTCTTGTGGAACCAACTTTCAGTTTCTGTCTGTGAGTCTGACACATTGTCTACTTTTACGATTAGGCTTAAGTTTTTCCTTTTTGATAAATCCTATAGTTAGGGTCAACTTGGGATTCCTGAGCCATCCCTTAGCCCTCCCTATGGTGCTATAGGCTTAGACTGCTGGAGGACAAATTGACCTTCATTTTGCTGCTGTCTTTACTTTACTCTACCTGTTGGTGTTTGAACCTCTGCTGGAGGTTTATTCCTGCTTAAAGAGAGTTTTTCCTTTCCACTGTTGCCAGTGTGTTTGTTCAGGATGGGAGACTGTGTTGAAGTGAAGATTCAATGCAACCTACTCGTTTCCTTAGATAACTTTTGATAATGGGTATTTGTAATGTATATAAATGTTTTTGTACAATGTCCTGAGATGACTTCTGTTGTGACTTGGTGCTATATAAATAAGCTGAGTTGAGTTGAACTTGTGATGAGACTGGTGACCTTATACATGCCGTACTGATAAGCTTTGTTCAAATAGACACTCTGATAATCCTAGATAATACAGATTATGCTCCTTTGAACCGTCTCATTCGTGGGATGTTTTGCTTTGTTATAAATTGGTATAAATCAACAAGCTGAGTCTTGCTGGCTTCTTAATCTTTGTGCTATGACAACCTTCTAATTTTAGGTGACAACCTCTAGACTTTTCAGTTTTAATTACAGGCACATGAATGCAAAACTCACCTGGATCAACAGCCTGCACCCTCACAGGGGAATCGGAGCAGATGGTAAATCCATATCCATCCTTTCCTCGAAGGATTGTGACCTATAAAACACACAGTCATTTTTATTTTTTTTTTACACAAATTTTGTCATTTTCAACCTGATAACTCAAAAAACTGGCAAAACAATCAGCTTCCTTCCTGCTGGATGATTAAGTAGATTTGTATTCTGCTCCGACTTCCTATTAAAACCGTCTTGACAGCAGTTTCCCAGAGAATACAATTAGCTGAATTAGTAGAAAGATCAGCTCCAGAGGGAAGAGTCATTCTTTGTTTAATAGTTGGAGGAACACTGGAGAAAATCTGGGAACCAAAATGTAAACTTGCTGTTAATAATGTGCACTTTGTTAAATCCAGACTGTGCACTCTCAGAGCTCAAAATGTGTCACAAAACAAAACAAACAAAAATATATGAAAATTTAAAGGTTACTTATGGGAAACTTGGAATAAAAAGTTAATAAAGACCAATATAAAAGCTGGATGTGTGCATGTTTGTGTTGCATTTTTTTTTCAAACTCTGTTTGTATTTTGCTTAAAAATGTCCAGAAAAGCATGCACCAAATCATAAAATACCAATATGAAAAGCTTCAGACAATGATTATTGGTGAGGTTGCCTCTCTAAGTTTTTGTGCTCAGTAAAGTTTTGGGTTTTAATCTGGTTCCATTAGGGAAAATAACATGATTGAGAACACTGACAAATAAGGATTTACTGTGCTACAATGTCCCATTAGAGGATGTTCAAATATACAACAAAAAAACACACTATTTACGAGTTCATAACTACACACACAACTCTACACACACATACACACAGTTCTGGTAGCTCATTTCTATTGTTTCTCTTTCTCTTGCCAAACAACTAGTGCATGTCTGAGCCAAAGTCAACAGAGCTCCATCCAAAACAGTTCACTTTCCATCTCATCTGCAGATAACCACACACGCATAAAACACTGACCTTCCCAGTTTTTCTTATTTTTTTCCTACTGCAGAGAAAAACTGCATGTGAATGCTGTTAAATTGAAAAGTCTGCCTACAAGTGGAGCACAGCAGCTTCAGGGAAATATTCTGAGGCCTGAAGCTTGCGATGACCCTAAAATGTCGATTATAATTGTGGCTCCTTATAGTCCGCTGTCTTTATGTGCCTTGTATTACTTTTTTTTTGTCTCCGTTTCCATCTACCACCAAACTCATACTGCTTGAAGAAGAATTATAGGGCTACAAAGCGAGACAGATAACTGTGGCACCTGCTATAAAAATGCACACACACACTTCACATCACTGATGTATGCTGAATCGGAATATTACCAGTCAAAATACTGGATCCACATACACTGTGTGATTAGAAATGATATGCAGCAGGGTAAACTCACTAATCTGAGGCAGAAGAAACAATGTCACGCACAAACTGGCATTTTTAGTAATCTAAGAAAGTGCACATTTGAATAAATTTAGGGCAAGCTGGATGTTTTGCAAACATGGTAACTGAAAAAAGACATAATACAAAATTATCTAAGGAGACAACAGTTAAAATGCTGATTATAAACATGGAGAAAATATTGGCAAAAGATAGAAGTGGCGTTTTAAGCAGGAGAGGACAAACCACAAACTGCTGTGAAACAGTTTAACAGTAAAGTTTGACGTGTTATTAAAAGAAAACACAAAATATGACCTAATGTGATGCACATAAATGTTCCCCAGTGTGTTTTTCTTTTTGTATTTGCATGCAGTTTTATCAAAAGCCTCATACTGAAGTCAAAAAGTTACAAAATTTGAACTCAGATTTGATTCATTTTCAGTCCTCAGAGCCTTTTAGGTTGAAGCACTTCATTATGTTTGGTCCGTCTGAACTGATCAGCTTCAGGACCCGTTTTTATTTCTAAATGGGACTAATAAAGTGTATCAGTGTGAAGGTTCTTTTGTTGCTGCATTAATCACAAGACAAATTACTGAATAAATGTCAAATCCATGCATAATATTGACTGCATGGATTAAATATTCAAATTGTGTCTACGCTAGTTTATAATTAGTCATTTAATGGAAGAACTAATGACATTAAAACATTAGATTTAACTTTCTTGTGAATTAATTCAGACGTAATAAAAAAAGGACAATCGTGAAGCTCATGCTCACACGTTTGTAGCTGTGCTTCATCATTTTGAATGTGACTGTATAAAGGGAGGAGCAGGTCTTAATTTGGTGATTATAGAGCATGTCTTATCTACTTTCCAGCAGCGCAGGAAAGGCTAACATTAACTGCTGACAGTTGAATACAGACTAAATGAAATCACCAGGCAAAGTCATTATTCTGTACGTGATTAGACAATGTTATCAAAGTGAGTATTTACAGTGACTATAACAGTGAAACACCCAGAAATACCTCTGATTGACGTGTCAAGCTGTATTTATGTCATAGGCTCAGTATTAGTTTTAACATTTTACTGCAACTTTAGTTGCAAATATAAACCTGTTCATATATTTCACTAAGTATATTCGTATTTGTGCAGGTTCAGTGTAAATAAAAGTGTTTATATGAGGAAAGTGGCATCAGTTTGTATATTTCAAAAGTTGCTCATTTCTCCTCGCTCCCTCCTTCACATCCTTCTTTCACAACGGAAATAATAAATAATTTAAAAAGAGCAGAGACTTGGTTCTCCACTTTTAAAAGTCACATCTTCTAAAATCTCTTGCATTTGCCCACAGAAAGACCATAAAAAGTGCATTTTCTTCTACATAGTAATAAAAGCATGCACTTGTGTGTTAAGTGGTGTGACAGATTGATCTAAACTTTTAATGAAGCTTTTAACAACAGCCACTCCTCGAGTCCTCAGCCTGCTTTCACACATTTCTCCCTCTTTTTGTCTTATTTTTCCAAACACACACACCTGAGGCAGCCTGCATCCAATGCAAAGGTGACACAGCCCATGGATGGTGTGCATCACACCTCCACCTTCTCCTCTTCCTCCACCCTCCCCAGCGTTCAAGTCTGCAGCCAGCACGCACACACTTCGCCGATGGCTTTCCACCTGGTTGCCCCCTCTGCAGCCCGAGTATCGCCACAGCTTCCTCTGTGCAGCTGAGTTTGTTCTCCTGTGCTCTGACAGCTGGGGGGACTTCAGGGTGTTGTGAATCATCTCTACAGTGGCAGCTGTCCAAAAAGTAGATGGGGGAGATGCGTCCGTCCTGAAGTATCCAGGTGACCGTCCAGTTAGATGTTTCTCAGCTTTCTGAACAAACGAGTATTTTTCATGTACAACTTGATCGGTCCGTTGAGATTTATTTTCAGTAACACTGGACTTCTCTGTATTAACTTTGCCCAAAAGGATTCATCTTCAGTTTTCTGGAAATGACCACTTCTACTCTTCAAATGCACCTTCAAGCTTCAACTCCAGTCCTCAATGCACATGCAAGTTCATCAAATAGCTGCAGCATCCAAATTTCCATTTACAGTCCTGCAACATTGCTCAAACCATCCATCCTTCACTTCCCTGTCTCCTTTCTGCTTCCTTCTTCTTGCATATGTCTCGTGACACTCGGTGTCAGCGCGCCTTGTTGTGTGTCCCGAACAACAGAAGCTGCAGTAGTGCCTGAGCTGTGAGAGCGTGTGGTGGCGTCACGCAGGCGAGACTGGCTCTGGCTCGGCCTGCGGAGGCCACACTGTAGCTCCTGGCAGGGGCGCTCATGGGAACTCTTCAACAGACGAAGAATAGGAGGAAGTGCCTCCAACCCTCCCCCCCCCCCCCACCACCACCACCATCCACCTCCCACAACCCCTCTAAACACACACACATCCACACACATGCACTTATGCATACCTCACCATCCTACAACCAGAACAGCTTTGTGTGTCTGTCTGCGATAAGACCAGTTGGCTTCCTGAATCCTCACTATGAAGCTGTGAGAGGTGTTTTAGCTCCAACATAGGTGGCACAAGTGAAACGCGTATGAATAAAAGTATCAAAAGCAGGACTTTGATCGGAAACGTGGGAATGATAAAAGTTTGTAAATGTGCAACAGCAGAGTAAACTCATTTTCTTGATGGCGTTTGGCTCCAACAGATTTTACTAACAGGTTTTTTCTAACCCAAGTCAATGATGACTTGTTTAGGGACTCACTTTGCTCTCACACACGTCACACCTCATCACACTCTTTCCAGCGTAGTTCCCATACTCCTCGCACTACGTCCAGACATTATTCTTGTTTGTTATGTTTTCTACTTCCACATTTCCTCCGCTTTTCCTTTCAGCTGTTCTCTCCCACCTCAGAACCACTCAGTACGGAAACTCACAGGTCTGTGAACTCTTAAAAATTCCCCCCGCTCTCCCAGTTATGCAAACAGTACTTTTGTTTGTTTTGTTTTTAATACCCATATGTCTGGGACAGAAGTGGATTTCTGCAAATAATAAACACCTCAATGGCAGTGCAAAAAAAAAAAAAAAATAGCCTGTTTAATTACCAATACAGCAGTGGCCTGTCTAACCCTCGGCATGCTCATTAATTCCCCACTTTCACGTTAATTGCTCAGATGTCTGGCTCATGGGATGAGACAGAGAAAAGTGACAGAAGAGCAATGGTGCACTTGTTTGTACAATGTTAATAAAGTGGCAGAAAACTCCATTGTTTTAAGATCCCTTTATACCAGTGGTAATGGCGGCTTCTCCCTATTTGCCTTTTCAAAAAGTGAGGGTTACCCATCAAGCACACAAAAACACTTTCCCCCGCTTTCACACTGTGCCATTCACCACTAAATGGGCAGAAGGACAGATTAGAAGGAGAGAAGAAAAACATGTATTGGACAGAGGAGTGAAAGAAGAGTTTTGAAAAGCTTGTCTAGAAGCCAGACAAGACCAATCTGTTTTTTGAGCAGTGTGGGATCTTTCTCTTACTTTGTGTCTCTCTGTCGCTCTCTTTCTGACCTGAATAAACAACTATCAAAGGAAGAGGTCTGTTCTGAGCCAGTGAACAGACAAGATGAGGCTAAGGCCAAGTTCAGGATCACAGCTCACTTAAAATTTTAACAGGGGAAGCGAAAAATGCGCAGTCATAT